TGAGGTTTTTCAGGTCAAGAATCCGGCTCTATAAGAAACAGCCTTAGTGTTGTGTTTTTGCACATGACAAATGATAAAAGCCCACCTCCCCCCGCAATCTCACAATTACGCCGCCTGTGCATCCCTGTCATGAATGAAGGACGACGACTACCGTTCGTAGCATACCTACGAGGATAGAGCAACCCGGCGGCGGAAGCTTATGCATGCATATCATCAAGATTTTTATTCCAGCAAGCATCTTCAACACGCCATGCACGTCGACATCCCCCCTCCCACCTGCACTACGGGATTGCCCCTGCTGAGTCCCTCATGCGTCCACAGGAAGCTCTGCTGCGAGCTGGCGGTCGTGTTGAGGTTTGCACTGCCGCCTACCCGGGTTGTGATTCGATGAAATCCCTTCGAAGGAGCAAGCAAGACAGGCATGCTCAGCAAGATCGATAGCAGCAGTCATGGTACACGGTCAAACAACACGGTTGAGGGGGGCGTGAGGCATACGCGCCGCCGCATGCTTTGGTGTTTGACAGCAAGAAAACAGAGTCGAACAAACCCGGCCAAGCAGAGGCAATGAGCGAACAAGATGCTGTAGAATATGTATAAATCGTGAGCTTTCCAAATTCGCACAAGCACTTGAAGCTGCCGTGAACCGGCCGCGCCACACTTACCGCAGGTGCCAGGGCACTTCCGTAAGTCACGTCAAAGTCTGTAACACATCTTGTGGACATCTTGACGCAGCAAGCAGGGCGAGCATCCGGGTACCTCGCTCTGTGCTTTCGACTTGGTGCACGAAAATGAGCATCAGGGGGAGACGCAGAATGCAGCAATTACTACCCTATAGAATATGTTCGCCCCCCCCCCCCGGGGTTCAACGCGGCACGACGCCCAGGGCGCAGGGCAGACAGAGAGACGGCGGCTGCAGCATGAAGGACCTCTGGGCATTGGTGCTGCTGTCAGGGTCCGCGTGGCGTGCGGAATCGTGGATCGTGCCAGCCAATCAGCCAAGGCAAGCAATCGTGCCGCGGAGGGCAAGGCCTAAAACTCAGACACAGCTCTCCGATATCGGAGACGCGCTCCCTCTTTAGCTTCGTTGTTCCGGTCAAGTGTTCATGTTGCAAAGCTGGTAGCATGAGATTAGCCAAGCACCCTACTCAATCCTCTGCCCCCCCCCTGTTGCGTAGCGTGCACAAAACCGACCATTTCTGCAGGGGTGGCTGGTTGAACTATGTCCAGCAGCTACCAGTCGTCCATAGACGCAGAGACGCCGATCCCCCTCTGATGCATGCATGCGTTACGCGTTTTGCTTCATCAGCAAGTGCGCTGCTCCGGGCGCAGCGGGGACAGAGAGGGCTGTAGCGCTCCTCCCAGACCCCCTAGTCGGTCGTGAGTGCGTCCCTTCACGAACAAAATCAGTTCCACACAAAAGCATACCATCAGTTCCACAAGAAGGTGTGCTTCTTGGTATAATCATGCATGACAGGGCATTAAATGCAGAACTTGTACAACAGATCAAATGGATCTTTCGGATCTGCATGTTTGGGGCGACGCGGCGGGGTAAAAGGTGTGTCCTGCCTGTGCAAAGTTCTACTTCTACTTTATATGAAACCAGCATCTCAAATCTTCGACACAATGGAAGTGTACATGGCAAGGATCGCTTGGCGAGATCGGTACCGGGTACCACTTACTCCCAACGCTATTCTCGGTGCGTGCCTCCTGCTGTCTGTGCACATGCAAAATGTCACTGCAGTTACCTTTTTCGATAACTGACTCGCGATCAACGAACGCCCCCGCGCTGCTTGTTATTCGGCGTTGTTTATCTCCTCCGTTTAATCTCGCCGATTTTCTGTCTCAGCTTGCGGGTCGGAACCAGTGGCACCACTAGAACCACCGCCTTACCCTCCTCGTTCCGGCGATCAAGAGCGATCGCGGGACGGGGAACACTTGCGGAAAGAACCGCGGTGGAGGGAAGGTCGACACCGGGTGTGCGGCAGCTTGAGGCTGCCAACTCTGGGGAGAACAAGGTAAGGGCGAACACCCAGTACTTAAGCGTGACAGCAATGCTCTACGCAGCAGTATCAACGTGGGGGGGACTACGCCTGCAACGGAACCAAGGTTGTCGTGGGCGTCGTCGCTTGGCCTGCAACGTACCTGGGTTACTCGACAAACCCAAACGTATATTATGGGCCGCTTTCCGCTCCCGTCGGACAAACAGCAGTGACAAGCAATTGCCCTGCCCCCGTCGTTCTGCGTCGTTCCTCGTGCTCGCCTCGCCTTAAGCCGTGGGATTTTTTAAAGTCCGTTCTGACTCTTGGAGTGAAGAAGAAGAAGCCCCCCGAGGTTGAGGTGAGAAAGAAGAGGCCATGGGCATCAACAAGGGTTTGCTGTCACGGACGACCGTTGGATCTCGACCGTTGGATGCCAATCCTAGACGGAACGACACCGAACCGCGTAGGCTAGACAGAAATGTAGGGGGGGGGGGCCAGGTTGCGAGGGATTGTGTCTCCATTGTTGGGCACAATGGGCAGTACAGCAGTATTGACACTTGGTGTTCGTAGAAGGCAATGCCTCGTGTCGAAGCCGAGCCCCGCCAAGCTAGACGTCTGGTCGGTGTGGCAAGAGTGGCAGGAGGGCCGTAGAAGACCGCGGTTTGGTCGTATCAGCATCAACACACGATTGATTCCTCTACAAGAAGAAGCGGTTCCAGGACAGGGCGGGGGAAGGTAGTGTGTAACGCTTTGCATGCGCGTGGCATCACGACCGAGTGTTTTCTGCTCTGCTGCTGCTGCTATCGCTGCTGCTGAGTCTGCTGCATCTGCTGCCGATTCTTTGCTGCTTCGAGCGACGATGCTACAACACTGCTGCGCCGATGTTTGACGTTTTTTGCGCAGGTTGCGATCATCGGGGCGGGAGTGGCGGGTCTGGTTTGCGCTCGCATTCTCACGCGTGGGGGGTTTTCGGTTCGGTTGCTGGAAGCCTCCGATGGCGTCGGGGGACGTGTCCGCACCGATGAAGTGGACGGGTTTTTGCTCGACAGGGGGTTCCAGGTGAGCGAGGGTTGTTGCATGCTGCAGAGGGTTTGCGTTGTTCTTGTCCCTTGTGGTTTGAGGCAAAAAACGGTGCTCCTTCTAGGAATCGCACCGGGATTGGGTCTGCTTGTAGTAGTATCACCGTCTTATTTAAGGGCTCACCATACGTGTCAGTGCGCGCCCTGTTGGTAGAATTGGTGTTCATCCACGTCGCTTTTTGTTTTGATTCCGGTGCACCAGCAGGTGTGTATGATCGATCTGACGTGGTGCAACAGATGCCCGCGGGCGTTAGGGGCAGATAATCGAGGGCATTGTGGATCGAGGACGGAACGCTTTCACTACGTTGCGTTCAGCTTCCTGTGCTTTGATTTGACACACCATTTGCTGCGTATGGTGTCGGAGTGAATAAAGAACAACCAGTAACAGCACCCTCCCCCCCACCTCTTCTTGGTGAGCCTACTAACGTCCATGTTTTCCAGGTGTTCATCGAGGCGTACCCGGAGCCTACTCGACAGCTCAACTACGAGACCCTCAAACTGCAAAAGTTTGATCCCGGCGCGATCGTGCGTTACGACGGAGGGTTTCACCTCGTGTCCGACCCCATTAGAAAACCCGGGTGAGACATAAAATTTGTCCCGCCGTAGATATCAAGTCTGTTGATACAGTATGTCCTCAATGACTCGTAAAACGATTTGTTCGTTGCCGAGGTGGGTCAAAAGCATCTGCCGCGCGTTTTGTAGGAGAGCGGGGATGGCGGGTCGTGCTTTTGCCACTACGCGCTCGACGAGTGCGTGAACAGGTTGGTCTGTTATATAGCTACGTTCGCTGTGCCGTTGGAAGAATCCCTGAAACGTTGGCCCACCAAACCACAGGGATCGATCGCTGAGCTGTAACGTGTGCTTTCCCTTGCCATCGGTGCTCACACCGTCACTCACATACCAACAGCTTGGTTGTTGTTCCGATACAAACTGTATGGGCCTAGCCGGGTTTCTAACAGTGTGCCTTTCTTCTGGCTGCTGTCGGTCTTTTGTAACGTTTCGACACCGCCAAGGGCTATTGTGGACGCGTTGGTGGCTCCCGTGGGCACGCTGGTTGACAAGATTCGTGTCGGCCTTCACCGAATAGCGATCGTCTTTCAAAAGGACGAGGTAGGTCGGACTTGCGTACATCAACAACGGCTTGGAACCGTTCTGTGTGCCCTCTGTTGCGCAGCCAGGCTGCCGAATCCGATATCCAAGTATCGACAAGTGATGTGTTTCCCTTTTCGCCCCAAGCCAACAACCAGCTGTGGCGGCCGCAAGCGCTCGAAAACAACTGTTGTTGTCTCTTGCTGTGTTCGTTGCACGGCTGACTCATTGGCGAAGAAGTAAATACCGCTGCGGTCTATTTAAAGCCGTCGCATTGTTTCATCATCAAATGGAGTGATATACGTATTATGCATGCAAAGCCATATGAATGTGTATAATGCATTCAAATGGAATAAAAATCATCCGCTTTCGTGCACCATCCACCGCATCTAACCCATTTGGCTGCTGCTCCTGTTGCCTCACACGGTTGGTAGTGATGGTTGTGGATGGTTGACTTGTGAGATGGAAAGCCGTGTCGCTCTCCATCCAAGCAGAACAGCTGACGTTATATATTTTGCAACGATCGCGCCTGAAGGAAATATTTGGAGCTCCAGAGGAGACGACATACGATTTCCTGACCGATACCCTAGGCCTCAGCAGCTCCATGGTATCGAGGTTTTTCGCTCCGTTCTACCAGGTAAGACGCTTAGCGCCCCCCCCAAACGATGCGGTTTTGTGTCTCTTTTGTGAAAAAGGGTATTCGGAATCTGTTGCTCCGTCAGCCGTGCGGACGGCGTATGGAAAATTTTGAGGTTGGTGAATTATACCGGCTGTCATACCGAATTAGAAATGATACTTGTGGTTGGCTCTTGATGCTTGGAGGAACATCCGCCGGGAGGTGAAGACGCAACATCTCTACGCCCTCGTGCCCCCCTTCTTATTTTCGAAAGCATAGCATGGCCTCCCGTTTCCAATGAGCAGTGTGGTTGCCACGCCACACATGATGTACGGCACCGGCTTGAAGTAGGCTAGTCCAGCAGAACGGCCGGGTACCGCCAGCTTAAGATATATATATATATATATATACAAGGTTTTACGGCGGCTTACGCCGCCACGCCCACTGTGAGCGCTTCCCAAGATGAATGGGATGTAAGTGTGTGTATACGCTTGTGTGGTGTAGGCAGGATTTAGATGGTGTGTGATGCCAGAAGGAATGTCAGGGGGCAACGCCCGCCGTATTGTTCCTAGTTCGCGGTCATAATTCATGCTAATACCAACGGCTGCAGTAACCACCCATGACTGCCAACACCACATGAAGCCATGCGAACACCCATGAACATGCGCTAGGTCTCCCACTAGTCAAATCCGTTACGACACCTGCGAATACCAATGCCAGCACTCATGAACATGCGCTTGCGTCGCCCAGAAGAATCCGACACACGACACCCGCGAATGGCAACTATCGCTGCAGTAACTAATGCCATAGCCCGCGAACGCGCTACCCACAAGTTTGTTCCGACACGACACCTCCATGTAAACCCGACACGACGAATTCTCACTAGAGAGCAAAAGAACCAATACGCCCAATCCTCAGCGCTACAGGAAGCGCACGCCCAGTACTGTCTTCGGTACACGAACCGCTACACTCTACGTAATGTGTGGAGCTATCGCGAAAGCCCTCTGGCTTCAATCCAGCCGCCATCAGCGCACTGGTTGGGGTGTCGTTTCATGGTCTGTTCATCGTCGTGGTTGTCGTCCTCTTGAAGTTGTCCTTCGTCGCTGTTGGGGACCTGGTCGTTCGTCGCATGTGTGAATCCAATGAAGTCGATATATTGCGGTGGTAGAGGCGGTGAGTCAGTGATGGTGTCAGTTGCAGCGTTAACGAAAGCTGGAAAGGTAATGTTGGCAACAAATGCGGTACGGTTTAGGGAACCACGCAACCTCGCGGGTAATGTGAGGCACATAATCGACGATCGCTTCTGCGCCCTGCTGAGTGCTACGTAGAGTTGCCCATGCGTGAAAACGTCTGACCGCAAGTCAAGCCCGATTTTGGACAGAGTTTGACCTTGACTCTTGTTGATCGTTAGGGCATAGCAAACGCGAAGCGGCAGCTGCAACCTCGAGAAAGCGATCCCGTTCCGCCCAACTTTTGCATTAAGACGTATACGCGGTATCAGAACTAGAGAGGACAGTCCATCAAGGAGTTCTACATGCACAATCCGTGTTGAGTAACCACGCACTATAGCCTTTTGACCGTTGACCAAACCCTGCTTGAAATTGAGGTTCCGTGTTATCATGACCATGCAGTTTAACTTCAACT